GTCTTTTTCCGTGTCCGGCAACGGATCGCAACCCTCAGTGTTGCCCCCGTACCGGACTGGGGACCGGCAACGGGATCGCAACCCTCGGTGTTGCGTCCGCACCTCGCTCAGCCAGTGAGCGGGACCGGGTCTGTATGTGGGATACGAACCCTCGGGCGGGAGCGCCGCCGCGCTTCCCAAGCGGCGCACTATCCAGTGCGCCACCGGGCCGGCCCTCCTTTCACTTTCTTGATGGTGTACTTTGAAGAACCAAAATTTTTAAATTTTGATAAAGCCCAGTTTATCAGAATAATTATAGTTTTAGTTCTTATATTTGGGTCTATATCCATTTTGAGTTAATTTTTGTATATGATGTGTCTACCTTCATTGTTTTGCATGTGGATATCCAGTTGTCCCAGTACCATTTATTTAAAAGCCTATTCTTTCTCTATTAAATTATCTTATATCCTTGTTGAGAATCAAATGATCACAAATGTAAAGTAAAAATTACTCTAGATGAATACAGCATGTAATGTCAGTGAGGTAAGTTCATAAGTTTAAATCAGAAGTAATTTAGTTTTTTTTTTTTTCCTTTTTGTCTTTTTTCGTGTCCGGCAACGGATCGCAACCCTCAGTGTCGCGCCCGTACCGGACCGGGACCGGCAACGGGATTGCAACCCTCAGTGTCGCACCCGCACCTCGCTCAGCCAGTGAGCGGGAACCAGTCTGTATGTGGGATCCGAACCCTCAGCGGGAGCGCCGCCGCACTCCCAAGCAGTGCACTGTAGCAGTGCGCCACCGGGCCGGCCCTAGTTTTGAACAAAACATAGGTTCTGATAATATCTTGAATTACTAAGGTCATTTTTTAAACCTAAGCAAAATGCAAATTAGTTAAATAAATGTCCTAAAGGTTTTCTGATGTCTGAACAATAAAAAAAATCACTTCTTTACAATATTAGTCACACACCTTCCAACCTATTACAAAGAACATTTCATTAACTATAATCAGACATTGGATATGTCATTACTCACTACAGTTTTCTTCAAATGTTACAGAAATGGCAAGAGGTAAAGTAAATATCAGTGAAATGGCATTCATATCCCAAAGCATCTTTCACAGGTACGAAAATGCAGACAGTGTTGAGGCACAATAATTTGTCTTCAAGCCAAATAATGAATTGTATCCCTACCTGCTATGTTTACCATGCCTACTTATAAGTTTAACATTAGGATCAAAATGAGATACATGGCACTTGTAAAAATACTTTGAAAAAATCTATCGCTACAAATAACTGGTGAAGTTACTTTAAAATATCTGTATCTGTACATTAAATCATTCTCAGAGTATCCATGGAAAGAGGTAATGATAAATTCATTTTTTGGACAAGGAGTTAAAAATAATTAGCTCAGTGTTAGGAATTACTTTCCCTAAAGAAAGAAGGAAAAGAAAGAAATCACTTTCCAGTATATCCTGATATAAAATTATCTACTTAGACCAGTAGAAAATGACATGAAGATAATGCCGTATATACCTGTACATACCTATGAACAAATTTATGTCCGTACATATAAATATGTGCATATGTATGTATGTATATATATATGCCATATATATAAAAATGCTATGTATATATTTATCCACTTTTCTATCTGAATATATATGGCATTGTCTTGACAGGTAATTTTCTTCATCAAATTCTAACCTCTTTGCCTTCCTTAAAAATTGTATTGAGTAGGCTAATTACCTATATATAATTAGTCAACAACTTTTCCTTGTGAAACATTTTATAACACCAATTTGCCTGATGCTGAACATAACATTTATAAAAGATAAAGAAAAAATATAATTTTATTTCATTTAAAATACTTGGTTACATTAGCCTTATTTACTACTGCATATGAATATGTTAAAATGTAATGGATAATATAGTTGAATCTGTCTATGAAGTAGCAACTAAAATAGAAGGAACTATTTCAAATTGAAGTGATAGTGATATTATTATATTAACATGTAACTACGCAAAAAAGAAAGAGTAGCTTAGGAAATATTTGGGTGGATAGAAGCTAACATAGATTTTAGAAAAAAATATGTTAAGTGAAATATAGTTTCAAATTCTGAAAACAAAGAATGCACTACTAAATATCTGGAATAAGAGCAGAGGTTGAATTTACACAGCATTTGAGTTTGTTTGCTCTGAAACTGCCATTTGATTTTCACACAAAAAATAACCAATTTGTTTAGGCTAAAAGGAGGACCAAAAAACTGGAATTCTGATTTAACAGTCAAGCAACTCATATTTCTCAGAATCAATACAAATTTAAATTTTCACATCTCTATGAATATTAATCAGATTAAAAATAATATCATATACTAGAAAAGTTTAAACAAAATAAATGAACAAATTCTCCCAGGTAAAATAGTTAGCTGGATAATTTTCTACTTATCCAGAGAAATGGTTAATATTAAATCTTCAATGTTCAGAAATGTATATCAAATCAGTATCATTAAAGTACAGTAATTATTCATTTCTAAATATTTAATAAATATGTTTTCCAACCTAAAACTCTCTATTTTTGAAAATGTTAATATTAACTGAGTGAAGCCCTTGCCATTAGTGAGAACTTACATTTTAGCCACAAATAAGACAGCACAGGATAGGAAAAGATACTCAAAATTCTCAAACTATAAAGGAGACATCTATTTAATTATATCTAATTAATTAATAAGTACTAATTCATTGTAAAGTTTTACTGAGCTCAAACTATGGTGTTTAATCAGTGGTAGGTGCTATAGGGTCTACAATTTCATCAATAAAATAAGATACTGGAAAGATCATAATGAAAGATTATAAGGCACTATAAAGTGATGATAAGTACTACCAATGTTCAAGAGAAGGGAATATTGACCTAAACTATAACAGTTAGCAAAGTCTGGATGAAGGAGATAGAACTGAATGACAGGGCTCAGGACATGCCACCCCAAAATATGGCGCCTGGGTATTTGAGAAAGCAGCAGAAGCGGGAAGGTCTCTCTGACTTTTTCTCACCCCTTCTCTGAAAAGGGCCCTAAAACCTAGTTGACCTTCCCCTGAAAGTAGGTTATAAGACTCATCCCAGAGGAGTCCTCCCTATACTCAGAGAACTGGAGATGTCCTAAGCTCTGACGGCACAAAGATATCAGGAAGAATCTGAACACACACCCCTTGCTAAGTCCCCCCCAGTTTATTACCATTATATCATATCCTTTTGTCCCCTAGTCATACTTCTGCACGACTGTCCACAAAAATAGTTTCCCTGTTTCTTTGGTTCTTCATTTCTGAAGCCTAGTCATACTTCTGCACGACTGTCCACAAAAATAGTTTCCCTGTTTCTTTGGTTCTTCATTTCTGAAGGCTCCCATGTCATGTAAAACTTATATTCAATAAATTTGCATGCTTTCTCTAGTCATACTTCTGCACGACTGTCCACAAAAATAGTTTCCCTGTTTCTTTGGGTCTTCATTTCTGAAGGCTCCCATGTCATGTAAAACTTATATTCAATAAATTTGCATGCTTTCCCCTTGTTAATTTGTCTTTTGTTATAGAAGTCTCAGCCATGAACCTAGCAATGGGTGAAAAAATCTTTTCTCTCCTACATGATTCAGAATTTGAACAATGGTTAAGATTCAATTGGCAGTGAGAAAGGTACTATTAAGGTCCAAGCAAAGGTATGGATATGGGAATAAACAGATTGCGTGCTTTATTTTAACTGTGCATTTCAGTCTTCCTAAAATGTGAATAAACATTACCCATAAGAACTGACAGGAAAGTAGAGGTTGTGGACCTTCAGCACTATATCCATTTGACAGTAAAAAAAAAAAAAAAAAGAAAAAAAGACCATGTATATTTTTCCTGTTGGATCCCTAGTAATCTGACAGGAAAAGTTTGAAGGTGTTTTTCTACCTTTAATTTTTTTTTTTAGTCATCTTAAGTTTCTTTACACATACAGAGTCTTAATGTTTCACTCTTGTCAGAATTATTTTTTGGTACTTTAGTATACTGCATCTATCTTTTTATATTTAGTGGACATCTGACTTATTTTGTTCTTTAGGATTTAGTTTCTCTTTACTTTTAAAAAAAATTGAATAATGGACAATTCCCTTATTGCACTTATTGCTATTATATATGAAGCCTAATACACTTAGTCATAATTTATTCCATGTTTCCTTTTATTCTAAAGTATAACACACCATATTTGTCTTATTCCCAGAGAGGAGGAAACAGATTAAATTGAATGTTAATTTAGTTACAAAACATTTTATTTCTATTTTATACTAGTGAGCCACCATGAACCACCAAACTCAAACATGAATTAAAAAATTTAAACCCAAACTGCTATTCATTTAGTTGCAAATAAGTAACTTCAGCTCCAATACTTTATCCTCTCAAAGAATGAGAATATTTTCTTCCTGTTGTTGTCTTATGGAAGAAAAATGAAAACTTAAAGGATTTACCATTTCCAGTTTCTCTGCCTTAAGACGAACAGAGGGATTTAAGGAAATCTTCTTTCCTTGTGGTCCATAATTATCAGTCCAGGTAGGAGCAATATCTAAGAGACAACAGGGTGCACATTAATTGGAAACTTAATTGGAATAGAAGTTTTCATTTGACAGGATGTGTTCTGAGCTCCTGCTGTCCAAAAATAATTCTGGCTAATCAGTTGGCAGTTTTCACGATTTTTTTTTTCTTTAAATCTAAAATGTATTATAATTATATAAACCAGCTTCACTTGAGTCCTACAAGACATAAATAAAAAGAGTGGCCAATTATGCATTGTGAGGTTCCACAGAAATATTAACTCAAAAGACGAACATACATCCCATCACTGTTACCATCATTGCAATGCATTAAAAAGAAGTAAAGTTACACCAGATATTCAAAAAAATCATAATATTTCTTTGGCTGATAAAAGTGATTTTGTGATGTAAATACTGGAAGTACTCAGGAAAAATCCACAAGTACAAATCATTTCAAGTTTTCACATAAAGTAAGATATAGACTCTGAACTTTTTAAGCTAACAATTCTATTTCTTATTTCACAGAAGGGTTATATTTCACGTAGCATAAATGAAATTTCAGGAGTTGAGGGTCATACACTTCTCTCTCAATATACCCTGATTATTTGGACAAGCCTTTGTCCTTGTTGCATGAATAAGAAACCAGGTGCCACAAGGGAATAGAACTTGAAAAATTATTTGTTTTTATATGCCAAAGTTTGTAAAATAAATTCCTAATACGTGTTGATCCTTACTGTCTAAATTGTCTCTATTCTAAATACACTTTTAAATGGTATTTTGCTAGTTCTACATAGAAACAAGAAGAAGAGAAAAAACTTTTTAAAATGTCACATCTTTATGCAGTGTTTTAATTTTTTTTTTTTTTTTTATTTCTCGGAGCATCTGTCTCCAAGTACAGAATGATTTGCATTCGCTTAAGAACATAAGTGCACATGAAAAGAAATAGTCTTCCTTTAAACCTTTAACATATCCTTAACATTCTATGCATTTCTCGGAGCATCTGTCTCCAAGTACAGAATGATTTGCATTCGCTTAAGAACATAAGAAGTGCACATGAAAAGAAATAGTCTTCCTTTAAACCTTTAACATATCCTTAACATTCTATGCAATATCTTTAATATAGCTTATAGGTGTCAAAATCAGAAAAAAATGGTTACTGACTTTTAGCTTCAAATAGAATGAAACCTTGAGAAAGACTAATTTTAGTATAATAGAATTTTCGCAGTTCTGATAAAATCAAGAAAATGTACTTTGTTATTATGATACCTAATTTTTGGCCATGGGATAAAAAAATACTAAACACACACACACACACACACACACACACACACACACACACACACACACACACACACACACACACACACACACACACACACACACACACACACACACACACACACACACACACACACACACACATTTTTTTCCTTCTTAAGAGAAATTCTGTGCCAAACCTAAAGTGTGCCATAAAAGTTCAGCATGGAGTGGAATGGTATGGAAGGCCAAAAAGTTGATAAGCCAAACTTTATTTTTCATGTTTTAAGGTTTGGGCACATGAGGCTTGACAATGACTTCTAGCTTGGTGCTTGACCGACAATTAAGGCACACTAACACTTAGGTGGGCCCACGCTAACAGTCATGGTTGCAGACTAAGACTAACTCTGGGCTTGAATTACTCAATGTAATTAAGTGTGTGGAAGAGTTGCAGAGGGGAGGACAGAAGAGAAGGTGAGACAGGGACACACACACCCTGAGCCATGCTTCTCACTCGTTTTCCTACATTTAAACATAAAAAATTGCAATGTCTAACAGTGGAAACAACAGAAGATTAGCTTCTATTCATGCTTACTTCTACCCAGGCAGCGCACTATTTACTTTACCTATATAAGCTCATTAATCTTTACAATTACCATAATGACATAGGTGTTATTATTCCCATCCCAAAGATAAAAAGACCCAAGTTCCCAAAGCTAGTATGTGACAATGTTAGGATTCTAATTTTTTGTGACTCCTGAAACCAATGTTCTTAAATGTGTCAACAACTTTCGTCATCAATTTGCTAATCTGTAAAGCAGGAAGAATAAAACAGACCTCCTCATAGGAGTAGTAAAGGTAAAATCAGTAAAATCATAGAAAACTACTGTGAAAACTATAAAGTAGTGTTAATATTAATACAGACACACTGTATTAATAGGAGATTTAATGTAAAATTATACTAACCCCCATTTAACAATATTCAATCACAGTATAACCAAATCTTGTTCTTCCAGCCAACCTTCCCCTAAACTTTTACTCCCGAGTTAAAACCTTAAGAAAGTCTGTGCATACATCCAGCATGATTTGGCAATTCAGAGTAGCTTGACCTGAAAAGCCTCTCATAGACAGTTTTCCTTATTTGCCAATGACATCTCTTTATCCCAGCCTCAGACTCTTTATTTGCTCCTGTCTGGGGGAATGAGACTTTTCAAAGGATGGCTTATTATTCTCTTGGATCTTCCATTCCTATTACTCTTTCTAGGAGAAGAAAGGGAATGTTTTATAAAGGAAGGATCAATACCATTTTTTTTTAAACACAATGAACCCTCAATGGATATTTTTCCTTCTATTTGTTTCAGTTTCAAAGTTAGTGCAGAGAAATTAAGGATTGTGTTATCGTTAAAGTAATGACAGTATTTCTTCATGCAACAATCCCTTGTTGAAATCAACAGGTATGTCTTTGGCATAGTTTTAGTTTACTCACAAACTCATTCAACTGATGGTGATAGTAAATGGCTCTGAATTTTGAAATAAATTTATGAATAGGATAGTTCTTGAATACATTTAAGTAGTATGTGGATTTAAAAAATTCTAACCAATTTTACACTTCGGAATGATCTTGACATGGAAACAGACGTAGAAGTACCTTATTAAGTTTATTTTTGTTGAGGTTAACATTAAAGCTTGTTTATACATTTTTAATAAACACCAACTGACTGAAGAAATCTACAGGTGATGGTTAATGATTTAATTTGGAACAATCTATAATTGCATATAATAGGCAAATCACAATGTATATAAGTTATCTAGAGACAACTTAGACATGACTTTGCCTTTTTTCTGCGCCCCCCTGGAAATATCTTGCTTACTACATCTATGTGGAAGAAAATGGGACTGAGTTAATGCTATTTCTACCCTACAAAAATGTTCCATTTTAATTGCTTTTTAATATTTACTTTACATACAACTTACTCAACTATATTTTTCATTAAACTTTTTTTTCTGTTATAAAATCTAGTATCATTTCTTGTAGCCACCGGTGTAAATTTACCTCAATCTATTCATTGTTACAAGATTTCTTTGCTCTAATGGGACTTCCCTGTTAGGTTACCTGACATCTAGCTCATCCTTAGTTTTGTGCTTTTGCTCATGGTGCTTCCTTAACTAGGGATAATCTCCTGCCTTCATCCATCAATAGATATTTACCACTTCCTTCAAGATTTGGATAATGTCTGACTTTTGCCAAGAAACTTTTCTTTAATGATTTCTGCATATTGTGACAAATCCCTTACTATGTACTAGTTTTAGAGGTTGAGGAGAGGACACAAAATTGAATCAAGGGTTGGAAGCTTTTACTTCTGCTCCAAAAACATGCCCTAGAATATTATCTGAGCTATACTCTAGTCTAAAGGTTCTGCAATATTAATAACAAAATTTACTGAACATATACTATGTACCAATTACAACATTAAGGGCTTGACATGCATGACCTCATTTAATCCTCCTAATAATCCCATGAGGAAACAATTTCATGGTAACAACAGAGCTAATAAGCTGGGAGCAAGGATTTGCATTCAGAGCCTGGTGGTAACCACTATGTCTTCCCTTCACTCTCAAACCTCTCATTACTTCTTTCCTTAGTTCACTTTGTTCATGGCTTCACATTGTTTATGTAAATGTGTTATCCATCCACAAGACAGTATGCTCCTTAGAGTACTAAAACCACCGACATCCTGCTCCAAATAAAATAGAAAACTGCAAAAGTAACTACTCGATAAAACACATATATAAACAATTATGTAAATATATATTTAAATGTTTCTAATTTGAACACTGAAGATTTTTAATCCCGTGTTTTATTTCATATTATACTATTAAGGGTCTCATAGAAAATATCCTAATTCTGTCATAATTCCTACTGTACTATGTTTTCTACAAACATAACATATACAGTAAATGCTTACTGAATAAATAAATGGTTGAAAGAGTCATTGAGTAGTTCAGTTATTTAAAAATTAAAAACATATTATACAAATGTTATGTAATAATTAAAATTTTATGATATAATCAAGGAATAAATAACCTGGACTTCTGTCATCTAGCAACTTTGATCCCATGTCTCATCAGGACTATTTGCATCATTCATCTATCTTTTTCTTCTCACATGGGTTCCCAGTTTAAAATAAAAATAGTTTATCAAGAGAATGGGCATTAATTATGTAAGGGGAATAATGCTAATAAAGAGTCAATAAGTCCCACTAAGTAAAAAAGCATAAAATTCACGGCTAAAGATTACTACTGACCCCCTGGCAAATACTGCCCCAAATCAAAGGAAACTACTATGGAATCCAGTATAAATTCCTATAAAGTTTGGTAGTTATTTAATTTAAACTAACTCTTCATTATCTTGTAATTCTCATCTAGATAATGCTACTAAAAATTAAAATATATAGGTAACAATTTGAATTATAATTTACCCATATGCAATTAGTTTTTTGTTTACATTAATATAGGTTTTTGATTGTTGTTTATATGTGTTTAACTTTTGGAGATTAATTTCAAGGGAGGGATTTTTTTCTTGATATTTGAGCCAATATGCACTTTACAGCTTGATAAATTTTTTTTTTTTTTTTTACGAGTGGCAATGCTAAATTGTTTTAAAAAGTCAGTAATCATTTCATGGTAATTAAGAGACCATAATACTGAATTCATAATATTGATATCCTTTCTAATTTATATCCATATGATTTCTTCCAAATAAACAGAACATTTCTTAATCTGTGGTCCCTTCTATAATGTGTTTTCTGAAAGGTGCATTCAATATCTCTCTTTAGTATCTTACTAAAAGCACAAGGGAACCTAATCTTGATTCACGGAAGTTTTTATTATTTGGTTTCAACAATTCATTAATTATTATAGCTTCATAGACACTGTTATGATAATACATCTATTAACACTTCAACCCTTTGTTCATGGAAATTTCCAATAAAAGCCATAATCTAACAGGGATCAGAGAACAATACATTCATTTTGCTCTTTTATTCACTGAAGGAAAAAAGCCATAACACATCCTTCTTTAAAGTCTATTAAGTCATATTATGCACTTCTCATTGAGAGAGTAATTGAAAAAAATAACAAGAAAGGGGAATTAAATGTGCATTTACCTGCATTAGATATATCTGCAGGGCTGTTGTCTGAAGCAGTAATTGGAGTCTGTTCTGTTTTCTTGTATCCAGTTTTTATCTGTGAAAGAAAATGAGGAAAATGCAATGTCACTTTCTAAAGTAGGTCAAAGACCAGATTAGAAGTTCATATTAACATAAAAAGGATGGTTAAAGAGATTAAAGCAATATTCCAAGAAATATGAGACCTCTAAAATTGTGCATATTCAGCTTCAAAGCAATTCAGAACTAAAGGTAACAATTGCTTTCAGCTCTACCATGTCCAAGGATAACAAAATATAAAGCCATGCACCTTGTCTTTTAAAAGGTATTATCACTGCAAATGACAAAGTATAAGGGGCTGAGAGAAAATCTTATACTCTGTCTCTTGTCCAAGGATAACAAAATATAAAGCCATGCACCTTGTCTTTTAAATGGTATTATCACTGCAAATGACAAAGTATAAGGGGCTGAGAGAAAATCTTATACTCTGTCTCTGATCAGCATGTACCTGAAATTGAAGTTACCTTAGACAAATATTATTCCACTGACTGAAAGCCTACCTGAGTTTCCTATTTTATTTTTATAGCTAATACAGATTTAAAGAATATATGCTCTATTTTATAACTGTAATTTGTTAGGACACTATAGCAGTTAGTAATTGATTATATTAATTTTGATATAAAAATTCCCCACTTTGTATATGATTCTAATAGGGTAAACTGTGAGTATATTCTAGCATACACATGTGAGGGAGCAACTGCAACCTAAATTGGATGATCAGACTTAGGCTCACTGTGTAGGAAAGAAGCTAAGGAACAAAAAAGGAAGATTGCCTTACTTCATTTAAGCAGAAAACAGAAATGATAATTAAGTAATACACATTAGAGATCGTCTGAAACTACATATGACATTCTGACATAGTCTTAAGTGAAATCTAGGCATATTTTTGTGTATCTTTTGTTCATGCTGATATTTTCTAACTGATTATGCTTCCGGACACAGGACATACTGACTTGAAAAAATATGTTTATTGACAACCCAGCACAAAAATCTTAAACAGAAAAAAAGGAAAAAAATCTTTTAAGGAAATACTAATTTGTTAACGAACAGTTTTACAATTCTGTATGTATTTCACTAACATAAAAACATATAGGGGTTTTATGGTGTGTGTGTATATATATATATATATATATATATATATATATATATATATATATATATA